CAGACCAGTCATGACAACATGAGATCATTGCAGTGAGATATGGAAGACAAGCAAAACGAGAGGTTGAGCGTAACCGGCAAAAAGCAAAATACTCGTAATGGACAAAGCAGCAAGGCCATAGAATGACTAGAATCATCTGTACACAGAAACTTGGAAGCATTGATGGCTACCAAGCTAGAATCCGATTTATCATGAGAAAAAACTTCCGATTCTCGGGCTCATAAAAGCGATGTAACCGTTGAACCACTTCACGTCGGACCCGGGGATGCTTCCGTCCTTTCGTCTTGCCAAGACAATGGAGGCTACCGTTGGAGCGTCGGACACATGGGAATTTCTTCACTGGATCGATCCCAAAATGCTCTTCTTTGACCACTGAAACGGTTACAGTTCAGCCATGGTGTAAGCTCTGAAGTCTCCCTATGCACACCTGGCTCGAGTCCGAGAAATCTCTCTGTCTCACTGACTTCCAGTGCGGGTTGTGTTACCAGACGCTCACCATCCACAATGTGAATCTGCTCCTTTGGGAAGTTATCCAGCCACCTGAATCGGAACTTTTCAGATTCCGCCATAACGAGGGAAAGAAGTGGAAATTTAGTTCCTACCTTTTCATATGCTTATGGTAGAGTCCAATACGAATCGCTCCCCATCCGACGTTGACACCGTCCACTTTCACGGAACAGTTCGTCTTTAACCACGGAGCACAGTCACCAACGGCCATGTCTTCGAATGAGGGCATCACTCCGAAAGTCCTACGCTTTGAAGATGCTTGCGTATAGTCTGAAATGAGGCATGAGAGGCCCGTTTACTGAAATCGAATTCGTTACTCACCTGAAATTGCCCTCATCACCGGATTCCTTACAACAACTATGATCTTCATCGCCGGATTCAAGGCTCGTATTCGTTCAGCTGCTGTCCTGCTGTGGAAATATGCCGGGCTTTTCTCGATTGTCAGCTGGCTTCCTTCCGAAAGTGGCATTTTCTCCCTTAAAAAGGTAGGATATCAAAGAGAAACCAGTTTTAATCTACAGCCCTGTCATATTTCCTAGATATCATTGCAAAGGGAAAAGGTGGGTAGAGTTGTCACCACGCGTACATCAAGGAGAATGAATCATAAATCGGTATCACTGTAGGCCTCATTCCCTTCAGTAAGGATGAAAACCTCGGTTGTACCTCAGTCAGCCCCAAAAAAACTCAAACAATCAGTTTAGGTCACGAACACATCCACACGCCACTATTATTTAGAATGATTGGCTGGAGCCTGAAAACTTTTCCTGCTGGGTAACGCATCGTTTCCCGCTGGGTAATGCATCGAGTAAGAAAAATTTGTTAGTGGCCGAACTAAGCCTAGCAAAAGAAAGCTGATGCACGGCGATGTCCATCCTGGGTCATGCACGTTGGTCTTCATTTCCCTAATCCTCAATTAGCGATTGTCAACTCTCATTTATGGCGCACACATGGAGAAGCCATAGATGCAAAATGCCTTTTGGTTTCCATCGTGACCATTGGCCGGCTTCAGCCCTTCGCTGACAGCGGCGGAGTTCTATGATCATGTTTCTGGCCGACTTGCTGACTTGGCTTATGTCGAGACAATCAGTTTTGCTGAACTTCAGCCGAATTGATCAATAGATACTCCTTACAAAGAGGAAGCCTGAACTCAACGGCGGAAGCAAGCCACTCAGAAATTCGTAATTAGAAGTGAAAAAGTGCGGGGTTTAAAAAATGGAGGGAGTGATTAGAGAAGCCCTTTATACTTCAGAGTCAGAGGGTCCGGGAGCAAATAAATGAGTCGGGTCTATCAGCGGTATCTCAGCCTCAAATGCCGACTAATATGGCACAGCCTCAACCGAAACCAGAAAATTGACTGACCACGCTTCACCACCACAATATCCTAGCTGTCTAGCCCTCAGTACTATAAGTACACTACACCACAAAATTTTCCTTCATTTACTCCTCTACGTTGAAAAGTCTCATGGCAATATAGGAGAATTCTCAACACTTCAGACAAGAGACGACTCGGTAATGAGTAGTAATGCAGAACAACAACACGATGGGTTTGGTCATGGAGGCTTAATGTTCTTGTTGTGATGTCCATGTCCGCCCTTCTACTCGCCGTTTCCTTTTAACTAATTCACCACTCAGAAACTTGCTGATCTCGCAACGAAGTTTTGCCATACTGTAATAGGGTGCCTTTTGGTTTTTGGTTGATAGAAGTTTAAAGTTCACAAATCAAGTAACAAATGACTTCATAAAGGTTATCCAAGAGCGGACCTACCAGCAGGGTTGATTAATACCTGAGCGTCTATCAAAATTGAAGTATTCAGCTCTAACTATCAGACGGACTCGAGTTTTTTATGCCAGAAATCAGTAAAAAAAAACTTCTAACTCCTTTGCTAAGTCATCATTCCTTATGACCTTAAGTCAGTTTGAAATGTATGGCGTATACCTAAGACAAAAGTTATTTGTAGAATAAAGAAATTTGGATCTTTAATTCTAATTCTGAAAAAAGAAAGGATCTGAAAGTTTGGCTGGTCGAAAAACTCAAAGGTCTCAATGATCTCTGCCAATCACCCGGCCACCATAAGTCGGCACCCAATTACGACCCCGTCCACCCCATCAGCTCAACTAATCACCCGCAAATCAGCTGTGATTTGCATGATCTCGTTGTCGCCTTCACCATTATAGCATCTCTCTTTCCGAGTTGATTCTCTGTCGAAATGGAGTTTTGTACCAGTTATCCATCACTGCAGCAGACAACGCCAGGTTCAGAACATCGTAACAACAAACATAATCGCTCATCGAGTACCGACAGTTGCCCCAGTAGCTGTCCGATCTCGGGTCAGCTTTGCTGTGCCGATGAGGTAATTTTATGATGCCCTGTTTGACTAGAGTGATTTACTACGGTAGACTTACGGTAGGACCGGATAACCTATCCGCTTAGTTGTGAAAAAAAGGAATTCATGAAGAGCAAGTACGTGGGATGACACCACTTGGGGATGAATCTTACACTGTAGCTCTGCTGTAAAATACCGTCTTTCTACTATGGGAAAGCTTGTTATCCTTCCCTACCTATTCTTATTCCAATCAGAACGGGTTTTTGTAGTTCAAAAAGGTTTTATTGCAAACTTTTACTTTTTTTACTTTAGTGGATCGGAAAAATTATTCTAGGAACAGGGAATTTTCACTGGCAGTTTTATCAATGCGGTCCTGATCATTAATCCAAGTTTTTGCTAGTGACCGCTATTAAGGTTGAGGTCGACCATGGTCTTTCCCGAGCGCACAAAGATTGATGTGACAAATGAAGGAAGGAGCGATTCCCACGATTTTAACTAATAGCCATTACAAGTAGAGAGTCGAACCGGTTCCAGCACCCTCCATTCTCATCAAAACATGGTTCAGACATAGGCTCCTGGGCAATTTTATATCCCTCTTTTCTAAGACAACCCTTTTTGTATAGAGACTATGAATCGGTCGCAGCAAGTCAGCGTTCATATCCGATTTAACGAACCCAACGACCGTTTTATGGGATTAACTAAACGCGCCAGAAACCACACAAAGACCCAAATGGGATTGCGAAAACGCTGAAGAGGCCCTACTGCCTAAAGCACTGCATAGTCGTCAGGAATTCAAGGCGCTATTCGCTTGACTCGAAATGGCTTCCATAAACCGTGCATGCATGCTTTAATCAGCCAGCCCCCATACTAGGTATGCATATCGATCGAAGAGCTCTACTCACGAGCACATAACCTTTAACGAGTCGTCTCATCCACTCAAGTATGCATGCTCGGTTCAAGAGCGTGCGAAATTGTCATCGTGATGCGCATGATGGAAATGGAGATCGTTTTACACTCTCTACAGATGGCCAAGAATCAGCATCGAGAATCCTTAGCTGCTCGTTTTCGGTGACACTGAATAGGGCGAATCAGGTAGGAGTAGGGAACAAAAATCGTAAAGCTCAATTATGAAGAAAACCTGAACGAACGGGACTTTTTGGGAAGTCGAAACGTATTTCCGAT